AAGTGCAGTCGCCACCACAACAACAGAGTCCTCCTAAGGAACGGTCTTCATCACCGCAAGTAAGGAGTCCTCCTATGCAGCGTTATCCATCATCTCACCCGTCTCAGTTTTAGGGAGCAGATTACACCTCAGCCTATCATTTTCAGGAAACATACCACGGACATGTAGAAAACAGTAAAATAGACAAGTTATTTGGCGTTGTTAATGAATTGAAAACCACAATCGATCACTTTAGGAAGAGAATGGATAATTGGGAAAAAGATAAACAATTTGGTGTGAACGATATGGAAAATGTGGATGCGGGGGAAGCATTTTTTGGTGGTTTGGATCCCGAGTCAGGCCATACATATGTGCAGACGCCATCGCGTATTGTTGAAGTTGAGGATAACATAGTTACACCGTTTAAAGGGCGGATAAAAATGAAATCGAAATTTTGTAGGGAGCCTTACACACAGGTATAAATTAAGTAATTTCTATTTATATAGTATATAATCGTTCCAAATTAATTAACATACTGATTTTGTAGCTTCCTCTGTCGATGGAACCATTGAAGAACAGAAAAGGGAAAAAACTAGAGAAGGAAAATAATGTAGCAAAAAGACAATTACTATTGGACAATTATGCAGATTGTGATGATGAATTTTGGAAATTGTGGGGAAAGAAGATGGGAGCGGTATTTGTGGAGCATAGACTATTAAGAGGTATTGACATGAATTGGGAATTTTGGTCTAGTTTACTTGGTATTGGCTATGGATGGTTGCTCTCTGAGGTAACGTACATCCCTCATTTTATATTACAAAAAGGGTTAGATAATTAATTGTTCAAAATGAATGTATTTTTTCTAACACGCAACATTTGATTATCTGGTCGTCCCTGCTCAAGGAAATAAGTCCGTCGAATGGTAGGTGGAAGATTATTAATCCTGAAGGCACGACTTTGGAACCTGGGAAACAACATTATTTGAGGCGTATAGCAGCCGAAATGGTTGATGGACCACATTGGAAGGATATTGATCGGGTAAGTGACCATATATGGACAACATTATTAGATATTTGAGGCGTATATATCTAATAACTTATAATTTTTTTGAAGGTTTTAATTCCAATCAACATACCACAACTGCATTGGTATTTGGCTGATTTGGATCTCCTTACATGGCAATTGACCATATATGATTCAGCTGAATGGTGTGGTTTCTTTAAAAAATATGCGGGTGACGGTAGTTTCAAATCGTTGGGAGATAGTATATTAAGTGAACTAGACCACATATCATATTGGGCCCATTTTCCCAATAGACAGAAACCTACTGAGGTGAAATTCATTAAAGCTACACATGTGTCGCAACAGGAAATAATAGAAGAAGGAGAAAGAGGAGATTGTGGAGTTTTTGTGTGCATGTTCATGGAAATGCTTGCATCGGGTGTACCAGTGGAGACACGTCAATCACCTAGAGATACGAGATTTACTTACCGTAATCAGATGACAGAAATTATTTGGAATAGTAGATTTTGATTGTGTTATTTGGAATAGTAGACTTTGATTATGTTATTTGGAATAGTAGACTTTGATTGTGTTATTTGGAATACTAGCTTATGATTGTGTTATTTACATACAACTACACCTATTAAAACAAAACAAACATGAGATACCCAACAATTAGAACAACTACCAACAGCTTGTACATATGTATGCTCTTCTTGGAATCACACATCCCCTTCTCCATGCTTACCACTAGACTCTTCTCCTTACTCAGGAGAAACTCCAACTCAACATTGTTAGTCCTCAAGTTTTTTATGACACCAAGATCCTCTTTGGAATCTAACTGTTGCTTCATGGAATAGATGAGGTTTTTGTAGTAACCATCTTCAAGTGCAACATCTTTCCATTCAAAGTAATCACATTTCCTCAGTCTTGTCTGTATCAAACCCACATGAATAAAACATCAAAAAACAATGACTAATCACCCAAAATGTATTTTAAACAATCGCGATTGTACATGTATTTTTATAAACGAAGCTTACCAAGCTGTTGTTGCAGTTCCAAAAACGTCTGCCGGGGTTAGTGAGTTTCCAACATGTTCGTTCCTTAGCTGGAACATCGCAATCACAATTGTTAACATCGTCTTTAACAAACACACGAGCAACTTGGAGGCGATTTCTTGCATTGGACGAGTTCATAGACATTGTGTTGAAGAATCGAAGTGGTAAGAAAGAAATGAACGAGGTCCAAATTGGGGTTTTTGACACATCACTTAAGAACTGTTTTCTGCGAATCATTGCACAACTCTGCGGATCAGTGCACACCTCTAAGGAGCAGTGTACACCTCTGCGGATCAGCACACCTCTAAAGAGCAGTGCACACCTCTGCGGATCAGTGTACACCTCTGCGGATTACCAAACAACTCTGCGGAATAAGTAATATAAAATCATTTTTTTAATAATTAACCCCTATATTTTCCGCCATAATGTCTTCCATACCATGGAGCGCTGAGGATAACCTCCGTCGAACTCGTGCATATATTAATATCCACGAGACCACCAGGGTGAATGATCCAAGTTATTGGATGCGTTTGACTTATGCCTTCAACGCTGACCATCAAACCCTCAAACTGCCCCAGAAAACTATCGCAACACCGTTGACATCACAACAAAATGGTATGAATTAAAAACAGAAGTCTTGGTTTTCAAAAATCTTTATACCAAAATTGATGATGCACGTCCGAATGAAGATGAGGAAGTCATCCTGGACGCGGCTAAAGCGAAATACATATCCATTAGTGACGGGTTAGAATTCGAGTTTGAAGGTCCTTGGAATCTATTAAAAGATCTCCCGTATTTTTAATTTGTATTGCGTTTGTAGAAGGATATTTTAATGTAGTTTGTTTTTATTAGGTTATTTATATACACCGGTTTGTATTACGTTATTTATATGTATTTGGTTTGTATTAGGTTATTTACGAAACCAGTTGAGTTAACTTCTACTTTATTCCATAGAACATAAAATACAAAACAATACAAATACATGGAAAACATACATCAGTAGCAAACATATTACATAAAACATTTCACATAAAAAACCCTTCTACATAAAATACTGGTGGTTCTTAACTAGATTCCAAGCGTCCACATACTCGAAGTCTTTTCCCTCATGCTCGAAAATGTAATGATATAAAATCATTTCTACAAGAGCTTCCTCGTTTGAGTAATAATAATTACTACTATTTTTAAGATGATGATACCATCGATTGAACCATGTGATTTCGTTCTTTAACTCCATCCACTTACTAAGAATATCTAATTGTACCCGATATTCTCATCGTCCAAATGAGAGGTTGAACATACCTGTTATGCGGGTCCATTCATCACCTCCAAGGTAATCAGGGGTAACCATTGTTGTTTCACCTTCAAAAATGTTCAACCAACATCGTATCATAACCATCACCTCTCTTGTCGTCCATGGACGTGGAGTATCGGACGACGATGTTGCATTTAGGGGTGTTCAAAACCAGATATCCGAAAATTCGGATATCCGAAATTCAGATAGTTGATTTTTGATATCCGAATCTGTATCCGAAATTTCGGATATCCAAAATTCGGATATCCGAAATTCCGGATACGGATTCGGATATTTAACCGGATATCCGTATTTCATTAGTTTTAAATAAAGAAAATAAACCCTTCAAGAACAATAACGTTTCCATGCATTTGTTAGGTATAATAAGACTTCATTTGGTCCGGTTAAATGCAAGTTACCTCATGATACCTGAAGATCTTGATAAATCAAACTCAAATTACTAAAATCAACATAAAAAAGGTAACATTTATACCATCCTCACTTTGCGTACCAAGTAAAAATGTTAATAATTTGTCTTTTTGAATTTCAAATGAAAAAACCCAATGCATTAAAACTATTTTTAATAATTTTTTATATTATATATTTCGGATTTCGGATATCCGAAATATCCGAAATTTTCACATTTTAATATCCGTATCCGAATCCGAAAAAACCGGATATCCGAATTTTCGGATATCCGGTTTTTCGGGTATTTTTCGGATCGGATTTTCGGATTTTTCGGATCGGATGTTCGGATGCGGATATTTTTGACCACCCCTAGTTGCATTTGTAGAAGTTGGTGCATTGGAGGCCATTTATTTTCAATACTGGGGTAAGTTGATACAATATTTAACCGGTATGACAATTTATACACTGATCCGTAGAGGTGTACACTGATCCACAGATAACAGTTCTGTGGATTCCCAAACAGTTATGTGGACTGATATCAAACATAAGTTCAATATTTTAAACCTTTTTTTGTCAAATTATTTACATAATCACATAAGGTATTAGTGTATTTAAAAAAAAATAATATTAATAAACGAAAATGAACGAAAAAAAAATCGAGAAAACGAAAAAAAAAAATAAAAAAATAAAAAAACAGCAATTCCGCAGAGCTGTAGCGGATCCGCAGAGCATCTAATGGATCCTTTGGTCATTTTACAAAACATGTTTTTCCTTGGTTATTTTCTTCAAACCAACCTATTTTTTTGGTTATTGTCCGAATTTTCTCTTAATATTTTCAACGGGTTTTTGCTTCGTGTTGCCATTATTACCATGTTGCCCTCTAAACTAAGAATACTTCTGGCTTTTGATTACCAATTGCTTCATCATTGAAACTACCAAAAGATATTCCACTTGATATCTTTAATGAATCAAGATCTAGGTTTTTGTTTTTTGTGGGCTTTTCAGAACTTTTGGATGGCTTATTAAGCCATGATCTCACTTCATCTTTAAAGGAAGATACAGGAACAATGGGGAAGGTATAAAGAGAGAGACAGTGACATGTGTTGCCTAGCCTTTTTAAAAAAAAATATTTAGAATGCAAAAAGTAAAATGTGGACATTTTAAAACAAAAAAAATGATAGTTCGTTAATAAATAATAACCGTTTTTCTTTTTATAGAAAATGACACTGAGTTTGATAATTGTGTAAGCGTGATAAAACCTAAATCCTCCAATGAAGCAGCTGAGGAACACCATCAAGGGCCTTAGAGACGGAATGTTTCCCGTATTCATGGTAGGTGGTTTCTCTGTACCTCGGTGGGTTCTCATCGGAAACTAGCTCCGGCAATGGTCCAACCACCTTCTCCGACGGCGCTAAGGAGGTTCCGAAAAAACACGCCACCGACACTCTCGGCCCTTTCATATTTGCCACCACTCTATGCTCCACACTTCTCAATTTGTCATTCGATAAAATCTGAAGAAACCATAAAAACGTTACACTCCGATTTTGGTTTTTCAGAGTAAAAAATTTAAACTTGCCTGTAATAAATCACCGATGTTGACCACAAGCGCACCAGGAGTTGGAGGAACATCAATCCATTGATTTTGATGGAGGATTTGGAGTCCTCCGATTTCATCTTGTAGAAGCACTGCTAGAAATCCATTATCCGTGTGTTTTGCTGTACCCATAGTTAGATCTGGTTGTGGACAAGCAGGATAATAATGGCCGGCGATTAAAATCCCTTTGTCAAAATCCAGATCTCCGAAGTGATTATCGTTCAACCCCAAGGCTTCTGAGATCAATCGGAATAGTAAGCTGCCTAGTTTCAGCACATGATTCGAGTACTCGATTTGTATGTCCCTGCAAACCTCCGGCAACTCCTCAGGCGGCGGAGTTGACGGACCCATAAATGAAGAGAAGGTGTCTCTCCAGTTCGCGGCGGGGGAACTGTAAAGATCGAAGTTGCTATTATACACGACGCTTCTCGAAAAATCTCTCGAGTATAACCCTTTTTTCACCTCCAGATCTTGCTCGTGAAATCTACGAACTCCTTGAAGCATCTCGTCCATAACAGTCACAGGGATCCCGTGATTCACCACTTGAAAGAAACCTAGATTTTCCGATGCTGCAAGGATCACCTCCACCGTCGATGCTCTATCGGTTGATCCAAGGTCAACGACTGGAATCTCGAAAGTTGTGGAGGTTTTGGGGAAGGTTTCCGGTAGGTGGATGAAGATGCGAGGGATTTGGCGGATTCCGGCATCGACGAGGCCTTTAACACCAGTTTTTGTTTGGTCGAAAGCTTTGAGTTCCGCTGGTCGATCGTAGCCTGAGACGACCGAGGCGGTGGCAGCAGCAGCAGCAGCCATTTTTGACTTTTTGTGAAAATGGTGTGAAAAGTCTATATGAGAATATGCTGCCAAGTGCCACACACTCATTTTTGCAAACTTTGACTCTCTTTGATTAAAGACAAAGTTTTACAAATAGTACTTATGGTTTGAATAATTTCCTTAAAACCCTCTTTTTAAAGCTTTTTTTTGCACAATGGTCCTTTGTGCCAATGGTCCTGTGATACGGCCGTTTGAGAGAGACGTTAAGTTGTCGTATGTGTCTTACACATGAGGGCATTTTGGACATTTCACCTAAGGGTTTACGTATGATTACTATTTCATATGAAGATCTGTCGAAAGAAACTTTAAATTTTTTATTTGCTCTTCAAGCCATTAATTTCTTTAACTTCAAACTAGATTTCAAAAATCAGAATGAAAAGTGTTTTTCTTGATAATAAACGAGAGGACAAGGTAGGATGATATTTCGATTTCGAAATTGTTCCTAAATCTACAAAAAAGAAGAAATTGCCATGATTATTGTTTATCGACCTAAAATTAAAAAACAAAGATTCTGAATTTTATTTCCATACCTTAAGCCCTATATAGGCGGTGTCTTCGTATATGCCATTATTAAACGTCAAAATATCATTTTTGCCCGGCCTAACATCTAAATATCATATTTGTCCTTTTTAATCTTTTAAAATATCATATATGCCCAAATTTTTTTTAATAGTTTATAATCCCTTTTTATATTTTCAAATCATTAAAATTGAAAAAAAAATAAATGGACCATATTGTCCTTACCTTATAGTTACCTTCTAAATGACATACGATCAAAAGAATTTATCTCTTGCCGTCGCCAGTGTGTTAACATGTCACCGTCATCCTTCTTGCCTTTCCCGTATTCCATCAGTTCTAAAGAAGTCAAAGAGATACAGTTGAACTCGTAATGCTTGAAGTTCATGTTCCATGTCTTTAACCTGCATAAACACTTTTTATCTAAAACTAAAAACACTGGCACAATTATTTCCAAAATTTCGGCCTTTTTAATAATTAGTAAACTGTTTTTTTCTCAACATCAGGTAATCTAACCCATAACAAATAATACCTGGATAGTATATTAATACATCTTTTCTTTATAAGTGACAATAAAACAAGACCACCAAATTAATAACAGAGGCTACAGATGCAAAACAAGGATTTGTTCGTTTATTAACTACTAACTAGGTGTTGATTTGGATATTAACTACTAACTAGGTGTTGATTTGGATATTGATTGGCTAATTTTAACTATGACACTCCAGTAACTTAAAAAGACAAGGTATTACAAACTTTCAAGACCGGATCCATTTGATCTCTTCTATAATCTTATATCTTTTTGTTATTGTGGTGGATACCAAAAATCTTTTTTAATAACCCTAGAAACTATCGTTTCTAATGAAAAAAATTAATCCTCCAACCAATTAACTTTCTCCGGCTCCAAGACTCCATTTTCACCTGTAATTGTCCCCACTTTTTTCCTGTATTTCTTTGAGTTCATTAAAACATAAAGAACCTGCAACAACTCTTAAGGGATTTCTTTTGAATTGATGGAATCTGGGAGAAGGCAAGAAGGAGGACGGTGACAGGTTAACACTAGTGACGACAAGAGGTAAATTCTTTTGACCGTATGTCATTTTGAAAGTACTTAAAAGGCAATGGCAATATGGTCCATTTATTTACTTTTTCAATTTTAATGGTTCAAAAATATAAAAAGGGATTATAAACTATTAAAAAAATAAATTTGGGTAAATTTGATATTTTAAAAGATTAAGAAGGGCAAATACGATATTTAAATGTTAGGCCGGATAAATATGATATTTTGACATTTAATAAGGGCATATACAAAATTCTCCCTATTAGTAATGATAAAAAGATCAAGTATGGTCAAGAACCTCTATCTCTAATTTTTTCACATGCATATTTATTCAAATGATCAAACAACCAACCTTTGACATACAAATTTTATAAAAGTTACAACAAAATGCATACACCAAAAATAGAAAGCTATCTCAGGTCTTCTCTAAAAATCAAGTAGCCCATCCGCTATTTAGGATTTGGTTCTAATTCAAAAACATATCAATTATTTTATCATAAAATTTGGTCATTATATACCCTTCAAAAACTTATGAAACCATAGATGGCGGAGTTAAGAGTATTTTGCAGTGTTTCCAACCATAATATGCATTTTTTTTTTGGTCTCCAAACATAAGGACCGCATGTAAGCTTCAAGAACACCATTCAATGACCATTAGAAAAGGATCACTAAGGATGAAAAAGAATGCATACAACCAACATGGCCCATGTTATAATAGATTTCCCCTAAGCAAAGTTCCTTCAAATGTGACCTGAATTAGATTGCAAGTTCTTCACAAAACTCCACCTATTGTAATTTTATCTTTTTCCAGGACCTACAAAATGTAATAGCTCTCAGGAGCTTAATGATAAACTAGAAACATTTTAGTCGTTTTTCAAATCAACCATTTTGAATTTTCCAAATAAATCATTTTAACGTTATATTAAGTCAAAGAAGTATTTTTGAAAATTAAGTTGTTTGATTGGAATATATATATATATATATATATATATATATATATATATATATATATATATATATAGATATATATATATATCTATATATATATATATATATATATATATATATAGAGAGAGAGAGAGAGAGAGATAGAGAGTAAGATCAAATGAGAACACCTAAAAGGTTGAGAACGGGAGAACAGATCTAGACCATCTAAATATTCAAATCTAAGGCTATTATCAGACGGACCATTTATGTAAATTCTGAAAATTATTGGTATTAAAGTGTAACTTTAAATGGTGAAAAGGGTATAATAGTAATTGAATGTTTATTTAATTTCTATAACTTCTCACACACTGATATCTTTCCTTTTAATTTGCCGTCTCTCTCTCTCTCTCTCTCTCTCTCTCTCTCTACTTAGGGCACGTTTCGTCGCCTCCCTCATCTATACACTACCAGAGCATCTAAAAATGTGAAACAGATGAGAGAGTACACGAGGATTCAGAGTGAGATCGAGAAGGAGGAGGGGGAAGAAGCGGTGATGGAGTTATGTTGGCGGCGAACAGTGGCAGACCCCAGCGATGACTTTCGTTCTTCATCGTCTCGATGCAGAGTTCCGATCATCGTCACCGGTTAACGACTTCTCCACCCTTTACGCTCCCCTCATCCGTGACGGACGTATGGAGAAATTCTACTGGGCTCCGACGAGAGAAGGCATAATCGGTGTCTGCATCGGAATCTTCAAAACCGATGGTCTCTCTCCTGAAGGTGTTACGAAGCTCGTCGACACTTTTCCAAGACAATCCATCGGTATTCTTTCTTCTGTAAATTAACCTCGGAAAATGTTAAAATATATGTATATATATATATATATATATATATATATATATATATATAACTTATGAATGATTTCTTGTTCAGATTTCTTCGGGGCATTGAGGGCATGAGTGTACGATGATGCAGTGAGGGAGTGGATTGGAGGTATCGGAGTGGAAGGCATAGGGAAGAGGCTTGTGAACTCAAGGGAAGGGCCTCCGACATTTGAACAACCGAAGATAACAGTTGAGAAGCTGTTGGAGTATGGGAACATGTTGGTTCAAGAACAGGATAATGTGAAGAGAGTGCAGTTGGCGGAGACTTATTTGGACTCGGCGGCGCTCGTAGATGCTAACAGGGATTCCATTGCTAGAGGAGAGTTCTATGGTGAGCTTAGTTAATCGTTAAAAATGGATTTGATGAGATTTAATGGAAGTGTAAAATGGATTTGATGAGATTTAATGGATTTGGTGAGCTCAGTTGGCGGTGATGGAGTTAAGTTATGCACATAAGGTGCTCGATGAAATGCCCGAATTCAGAAAAATGGAACTTGAATGCTTGCAGTTGTAATCTTATATGAATATAATGTTAGATGTCTCATTTTTCAGGTAATCATCAATGAATACTCCATGAGGCTGGTCCGAGAGGAGCAAGGCAAGCAACCACAACCAGTATATTTATGTGTGAATTTATGTTTGAATGACTATATTTATTTATGAATAACAGGGCATTCATTTGTGAATATTAGTGTATTTATGTTTGAATGACTATATAATTATACATAAATGTTTCATTAACATTTTTGCAGATACAATGAATAAACATGCATATAGTGGGAGGTGGGAGATTTACCAAATGAAACACCGACACCAATACCTCTTTTGGAAGGAGAAAAAATGTGTTTTATTCATTTATGATTGTAATTGTAGCACTAGTTTCTGTGTAAAAAAAATATATATATTGTAACTTATTCATTTACTATTATAATTATATTCTTATATGAATAGAAATGTGTTTTATTTATTTATATATGAGTACCATTTTAGTTGATTTTATAATCTTTTTTTCGGGTTTTATTCATTTATGATTTTACAAGTGTATTCATAAATACAACTGAGTTAATTCATTTATAATTTACAATTTTATTCATTTTTAAATGTAATGTATAAATCATTATTTATGAAGATAATTTTTTTTAAAAATAAATGAGGTAAACCGATAAATTATTCATTATCAAATGTTGTTAGTAAAAATAAAAATATAAAACAAATAAACATTTTTTTTAATTCATGTTAAATGATATTTTTATTAATTTATTAATTAAAAGGAAGATTTTAAGTATTATTAATAATTGGGGAAAAAATTCCCATGATTTTCTGAATTGATTAATTACTTTCCATTTATCCATATTTAATTAAATTGTAAAATGCCTCTAATGCCCTTATAAAATAATTGGTCCACAACTGTTCTCGCGTTCTCAACCTTTCTCAACCTTTTAGGTGTTCTTATTTGATCCTTTCCCTATATATATATATATATATATATATATATATATATATATATATATATATAGGCTTAAGTTATTCTATTTAAACTAATTATTGTGTTATTGTATGCATAAATGTAGACCAATCATTTTACTTAATTTAAGAAAGTGATTAATATATAATTATTAAATTAAAGATAATTGACAAAATACCATCTAATTTCATTCTAAGGGTATTTTAGACAATTGAGATAAATTTAAAAAAGGAAAATTCCATATTTTTTGGGATAATTAACTCTCTTGATTTTAAAATTCTAATTTTTTTAATTACTTTAATTTTAATTATAACATAATTTTTATAATTAAACCCGATTTTATTCTGTTAGAATCATATTCTCTACGAATTTTAGGATACATATTTCTATTAGAATGATATTGTATGAGAATGCCAATACCGGCTAGTAACACATTTGTGGATACAACTTCAAATTTTTCATTGCATTCTTAAAAAAGTAAAAACTTTATATAGTATTCTATGACAATGAAATACTCATTAATAACAAATAAAAATATGTACATTATTCGACCTGAATATTCTAGCAGAATATATTATTACATATACTCCTATCATTCTATTGTAGATTATTCTATCAGAAGAATAGCTCTTTCCTTGATCATCCATGAAATTAGACATTTAACGAAAATAACTGCCATGAATCAAATCATGTAAGAATAATATTCTCTGAGAATGCTTAGAATCACTTTGAAATTTGCGGTCCGTTTTTAACATCCGAATTTCCAGGTATCTTATTTTAATTGTTTATCTTGAGTTTTATGGAGGGACTCGGCGAGTAGACGCTCAGACTTGCCGAGTAGGATCGCGAATTCTTGTCTGGATTAATGACCGGACTCGACGAGTCAAGGAGTGGACTCGGCGAGTCCGCGCTGTAAAGTGAAACCCTAAATCTCAGGGCCTGAGCCCTATTTAAAGGCCCTTATGGCCGTCATTTTGTGGCCACTACTCCCCTGAGAAACCCTAGAGAATAGAGAGAAGCTTGGAGTGCAAGAGGAAGTCTAATCCATCATTCTTGAGTGTGTTTTAGCAAAGGGAAAGGAGGATTTCGAGCTAGGCAGTCTTGTGGGACTCAAATCTTCCATCATTTGGTGCAGAGCTGCTGTGGGAGGTAAGGATTCATGTCCATTTTCATTGAGTAATAGATTTCATGAATCTAGGGCTTTTTCTCTTCTTTTTGGTAAGAGATCTAGTGTATGTGATGTCCCCTTGTGTCAATATCATCAGATCTGGACCTTGAGAGGTCCAGAGAGTTCCTATTCTCCAGCTTTATGCAGTCCTTTATGAGTTTGGGGCTTAGGTTATCAAATTAAGGGTTATTTTGGCATATAGAGGTGATAGTGTGATGCATGGGCCTAAAGTTTGAACCTTTACGCGATTATCATGCTTGGGAAGGTCACATCTATAGATTAGAGAAGCAGATATGACCTTAGAAGGTCATTTGAGTATGAACATGGAAGCAACTCGCCGAGTCCATAAGTGGACTCGACGAGTCGAGTCGGGGTTTTGCCCCGTGATTCGTAACAGGTGTAACCCGTCGAGTGGAGGGATGACTCGACGTGCCAAGTGAGACTAGAAGGATTGAGAAGACCCGCTTTGACTCGTCGAGTCGCCCATGTGCACTCGACGAGTCGGGTCAAAGTTTGACCGTTGACTTTCGTTGACCTTAGGGTTCTGGTCAAGACTGATCCAAGAGAGTTCAGGGAGGGGTAGAATGACCTTCTACCCAATCTTTAGAGATGAGACTATGAGAGAGTATTGATCGGGGATGTTATTTGAATGATAGGAGGAGGCTAGGTCGGGACGTTGAGCACGAGAGTTATCCGACTTTATTGAGGTGAGTCTTCTCACTATACTGTACTTGGAAGGGTACCTATGTGTGACCGGAAGGTCTTGTATGCTATGAGATGTATGTGCTATATGCTGTTATGTGATATGTATGTGTTATGTATGTTATGTATGATAAGGACCGGAAAGTCAAGATGTTATGGACCGAAAGGTCAAGATGACATGGACCGGAAGGTCAGGAGGTTACGGACCGGAAGGTCGATACGGGTAGGACCGGAAGGTCTACCGGGATTCGGGACGGAAGTCCCCTGAGACACTTGGGTCGGAAGATCCTACAGAGTTATGGCCTGGAAAGGCGTATGTGTTGTATGTGGTATTTTGGGGAACTCACTAAGCATTTATGCTTACAGTTGCTGTGTTATGTGTTTCAGGTACTAGCGAGGATCGCGGGAAGGCGCCGACATGATCCGTACACACTCGTAGAGATTATGTTTTGAGATTCTGGGATTTGTTTATTATGATGACATTGGATACAGTTTGTTTGATATTGTTTTTATGATTGAAAATATGATTTAAAAATGAAAAATTGTTTTGAAAATTTACGTCGTTACAAGTTGGTATCAGAGCCTTGGTTTGAGGGGATACGGGTGCATCTTCGGATGAATCTGAACTCAAACTGAGGATTTGAGAAATTTTTAATAAAATAAACAATTTTTCTAAGAGAGTAAAAGATTTTGAGAAAGGCAGAACAGAGCAGTGTGTACGATCAGCCAGTGCCCGAACGGTGATTTCCCAAAATACCCTTACATTATGTATTATGAGTTATGCTATGATATGCATGTTAGAGTAGGCTAGGTATTCATATTAGGACTAGAGTGGCCTGATCTGTGATGCCTTAGCCTAGGAAGATTTATGCTGCTATGTGATGCTTGAGAGTGAGTAGGTAGCAGTGAGGAGCTTTGAGAGGTCTACCGAAGGGTAGCCTATGCCAGCGAGATGTAGAGTACTTGTGATCTGGGATCCTAGGAGGAGGACTTGGGGTGAATACTGATGCGGTGTGGACGGTAGTATAGGGCACGTACTACTGAAGACACTGGATCAGTGCGCACTCCAAGTAAGAATCCTTAGGGTACTAGGGAACAAGTAGGGTTGAGTTATCGAGTGCGAGTACGCTCGAGCAAGTCTCTGATATTATTATGTTGTATTTCAGAGACATCATGGTCGGGACACGCCACAGACCTGAGACGAGCGGCGTGAGTGACGAGGAGCTTCGTCAGATGATCCACGACGAGGTGGCAGCGGCGATTCGAGCCGAGATTCCGGAGATGTTTGGGTCTATCAAGACCACATTGATTGAGACTTTTGATGAGCGGTACACAGCGGTGACTGAGGCTGCGGCTGCTGCAGCTACTGCAGCTGTGGCTGCTGCCAGGCCTCAGGGAGGTGACTCGTTGTTGTTTCGAGAATTCAGCAACACGAAGCCACCAGAGTTTGACGGGACGCAGGATCCGATCGCTGCGATGAGATGGATTTATGATATTGAGGGATGCTTCTATACGTGTTCATGTCCGGAGCATCTGAGGGTTCGGTTCGCGCTGAACCAGCTTCGCTTGGGAGCGAAGGACTGGTGGAAGTTCGTGACGGCGAGCTTCACTCTTGCAGAGATTTCAGAGGTGACCTGGGAGAGGTTCACCACCATGTTCAGAGACGAGTATGTTCCCCCGGTGGAAAGGGAACGGCTGGCCCAGGAGTTCTTGACCCTCAAGCAGGGTACTGATTCTGTTACTGTGGTTACCAGGAAGTTTCATGAGAGGGCGATGTTCTGCCCTGAGCAGGTGTCTACCGAGCAGGCACGCATGAGCCGGTATTTGGGCATTTTGAGGAGGGATATTCGGGAGTTCGTGTCGAACTCGACTTACCGGACATTTGCTGAGCTCCAGGCAAATGCCCGGAAGAGGGAGATTGAGTTGGAGACTCAGGCCAGGGAGGAGGCCGAGTCTCAGGGGATGGATCGGCGGCCGGCACAGTCCCAGCCGGCAGCCAAGCGGGCAAAG